ACGCAAATGAGAATTGGCATTGCAGTATCAGCGGTTTTAATAAACGCATCTCGATAATAGCCAGAATCATTTTAATGAGTGTGCCCGCGCGAAGCGCGGACACTTCATTAAATTCTTAGAACGGCAGAAATACAATTACGGTCGCGCGCGGCATTTTTTAAACGGAGGGAGGGGGAGCGGGGTACACGTAATATGAATCGGGGAATATGTGTGATTTCAGTTCCTGTTATAACATAATAACCGAATCCGATTTTGCGCAGTCGTTTAAAATCGCGAACGAGAATTCGACGGGAATCGATAATTAATTTGTCGAGGGCGACTCGATCAATTTGTGAGATGATCCTTTGATGGATATCCACTTTTAATACCGATACGTACTATTTAAATAGTTAACGATTTTTTAATCCCTAACAGAAGAGGTCTTCGTAATCGATACCAAATTCAGCTGCGTCACTCGTATTTTTCCTTTCTTCGTATTTCCTCGATTTTTCGGGCGTAGCGTTATCTAGGCGGAAGAAGTACGTGTAAATGTTGTTAAATAAGAGCAACTTAGGCGATCCCTGCGGACTTGATCTTTAAGTCTATGATACAACTCCGCGCGAGATTTCTCAAAAGCTCGCCGAGCTTTCGCCATACGGTCGATAAGGTAGGAAAGAAAGCTCTGATCATGATACGGAACTCATATCATGAGGAAAAAGCTCATGAGGCAACTACCTTACCAACTGAGGCAAGCATTCTCACACGTGCGAGGAGTGTATCGTTCCAAAAATTGACGAAACTTTTCCATAACAGTCCACGCACTTTCAGCCGATGATAAACGACGAATTATCATCGTGCGCGAAGATACGATGGTTATCACAATCATACGAACAAGTTTGACGAAAAATTCGGGCTGTAAAGTCGGCTATTTCTAACCTATTTGAAACCTCGCTATTTTTTCGAAGATAGATTTCGACAAAGTGACAGGTCAGACTTCAACGGAAGATTTTCTGTAGGACGCGTTTCTCAATGAATATACCTATAGCGTATAGAGAAGCGATCGATATTGGTAGTCTATTTTTTTTATCAATGACTTTATCGCAAGCGCATCTTTGCTTTGTGTTACTTACGTGTGTATTCCACGCACCTGGAAATGCCTCATAGGGCACGCATAGGAAGTTGAATGTAAGCTAAATATAAAATTGATACGTGTTAGCGGCTGATATTTAAAAAAAGAACGGTCAAAGGTAGATCTGGAGAGTGATGGAGAGGGGGAGGGGAGAGGCGGCAATAAAATAAATAAAATTTTTTTATTAAAACAGAAACTCCCGTTTCTGTATCTACCGCGCGTCAAACTCGATTTCCCAGGTTGGAAGTTTACGGTATTAGGCTCGGGCGATACAGTGAAAAATAATTCGGCTTACGAGCGTGGAGGCTTCCACTTCCCTCCTGTAATACCTTTGTGTATCTAATATTGTGAAAGATACATGATCAAGCGGCTTTATATGGCGCACATTATATAAGAAGGTAGCGCGCTCAATTTTATACAGTTTATCATCCGCGGCGTAATCGACAAGGCACCTAATCGGGAGGTAGCGCGCGTAAATAATGTTACTGAGCGAAGCGTCGGATTTAGAAATGGTATAGGGGGAACTTACTCGACAGGCTGAACACACGACGCACGACAGGGAAGGAGATACTGACTGTTGTCGACAGCGACGGTGATAATTATTATTAATTATGGAACTCTTCCTTCTTTAATTATTAACTTTTTCCTTTCTTCCTGCCTCTCTCTCTCTCTCTCTCTCTCTCTCTCTCTCTTTCCGTGCTAAACCTTCAATCGCGTCGTTTCCGATGAATTGGATGCTGTCGGATATAATCCGCTTGATTTATATATTTAAATGTAAAAATAGGTCACCCGTGGCGCGTATCGCGAGCTCGTCCTCGTCGAGAGTTTTTGCCGAAACTGCAGTTTACGGCGCCCTGTTCTCTCTATTTGGTCACACTCTAATCTGTTTACGTAGCGTATTATTCGCGCGCCAAACGCGCATCGAAACGTATACCGCGCTACATCTTTAATGCAATTGTCTTGTCATCGGATTGACCCCGATATCGCGAAAGGCATGACTACGAATTTATCGGGACGTACTACGCTGAATTCAATTCGTCGGTTTCAAAAGCCTAAATCAAAACTGGGTGACAATCTGCGTTAATGATGCGCGGCGCGGAATAAAAGAGCAGACTTGAAAATGGGGTAGCATTCAGTCGCGAACTTCTGGTATTTCTGTTCGTCGAAATAACGAGAAATTGAAGGCTGCTTGAGCGCGTTGTTTGCGCTCTCGGATATCTACCTCCTTGCCCCGCCCCGGCACTTCAACTGGGTTTTTAATACGGACCGCTCAGTGTTTCGAGCGGAGAAGACTCGGGTCTGCTTGCGAACGCTAAATCGGGTTTCCGTTCTGTTCGCTAGCGTTCCCTTCGCATCTTAGATTCTTGGATATTCCTCTTCACGGGGAAAGAACGCGATTAATCACGCCGCAAGAATAATTGCTCGCGTCCACGGTGTTTACGTCGCGGAGCGGAGCAGTATTTATATCCCGATTTCTTTAGATAATCTTCCTCTACGGCGTGGATATCTTGTCTACTAAACTATTCGCTTGTTTTTCTTACAATCTAGCCGGGAAAATCGGTGATCATTGGTGATGTTGATTTGATTACTTACGTGTAGTGCAGAATTAAAGTGACAGAAGTACAAAAGGCGCACCACTTACCTGAAACAAGAAAATTACAAAATATCTTGAAAAGACTGCTCATCATCGCCGCGAGAGATAACGGTGACGGAAATCAACTCCTAAATGGACTTTGTGAATTATTGATTTAAAAGTTGACTTCATTTTCGCAGACCTCTTTCTCGCGAAATGAGCTCGCCCGAGATTTCGCACGAGGGAACGCGGCAGCCTGAAAAACATGCGCAGCGCGCGAGTAGAAAGACCCCCTTCCGGGCTCCAGAGAAGGATTTTAGGGTAATCGCGATCCGATCCATTTTCAATTCCGCCGATATAGCGGCCGCGTCGCGAGCTGAATGCATAAGTGATTTTTGCATCGAGTTAATGAGCCGCCTCGAATTCCATTTCGCGATTATTTCGCGGACGGCTCGACGATCTCGACTAAGCTATTTTGGGGTGGGGGGGGGGGGCGGATTGCCGGCTGGATACGTATTAGCATAATCGTTGGACCATAGGAATGAAGAGGAAGCCGTAGAGACTGCCGCAGAATATCCAGCCGCGCGAGAGAGAAAAAAAGATTTCGCCCCGACTTAACAACGAAGGTACTCCAAAGTTTCCCAGACTTCGGCGCTGTCTGAAAGCGCAACGTAATGTGATATCCGCGCGGTCAGAAGGCAACTCCCTTCCCTATTCTCCCTTCCCGGTAAAACGCTCTTTGGAATACTCCTCGGGGATACTCCTTTACAGTACCCTCCGGACGATAACTCAAGATTTCCCCCCGAAGACAGTCGAGATTACATCGCGGGAGATAAAATGGCGACACCCGCACTTTCGTGTCTGAATAAATACGACGTGCGCGCGATTTAAAATCACTTGCACCGGCATATTCAAATTGTGCCGCCGACGGGGAGATTTGCAGAAACGCGCAGCGCAACGTGTAGCCGCAACTAATGCAAAGATATGAGAGCGCGTGTCTGCTTTAATAACGCGCGCGCGGTAATGACGAGGTCGCCGCTACTTTCTCTCGGAAAATGGACGGCGTTCGCATTTCGGCCGCAATATCGCCGTAAATTCGCGTGTAATAGCCGGCAGACGGCAATCAAGCTCGCCGGCGACGCGAAATTTACGACGTCGCGCGCAAGAGTCGCTTCTTCTCGCATTGCGCAAGCGAGAGAAGCTGCAGGAGGGATCCGTCAGCCGTGTTTTGCGGATTAACATCGCGCCACCTTGTTTACCGCGCAGTTTTGGCAGCCTCGAGTCGAGCGAATAACACGGCCGGCAATCAATAGCGAAAGTCCGCGGCGGGTATTTATATTAAATCCTCCCTGTCTCGTCGCGCAGAGCGCGCGAACAGCGCACAAAGTGTCGACGCCTTTGCTTTTCCGACACGTCCTAACGATCGCTATCGGTTTTCGATGAAATGGCTAGGTGCGCTCGTTCCCGACAACGCCGGTCGATACATAATCGAATCGCTCGTTCTTTGTAAAGTCATTCACGATGCACTCGCGACGGGACAAAGCGCCTGCCGCGCGATATGCGATGAAAAAAGCCGCTAATGATATTATTAATCCACCGTGACTTCTTTTGTTGACGTGGTTTTCTTTAGGAGCGCCACTCGCGGGCCACTCGCTCGTTTTATCCACGCGACGAAACGCGGATACGCGCGTCCGGAGGAAAGCTCAAGCTGAATCGTCCCAGCCGCGCGCGCGACGTTCCGTTGCATGGGGCGTGCTTTCTAGTTAGCGTCATCCAAGGCGACTTCTAGCATCACTTCTGCTTTCCATTTACTCCGCCTCGCTGTGCGTGTCGGCGACTTTGTCGCCGACGAGTCGACTTTGGCCGACTCCGCTTTTAGAGAAAGCCGGGCTTTTGGAGAATGTAGCCGGGCGTTTTCCATTTACACGATCCGTCTCAGCACAGCTGATGTAGAAACAAAGCGACCGCAGCATCGCGTTCCTTCGCCAGTTTTAGACCCGAATTTTTACCCCCCCCCCCGTGAGGGAAAATCCAAATCGTCGCGAGGCTATGAATACAATCGCGGAGAGAGAGAGAGAGAGAGAGAGAGAGAGAGAGAGAGAGAGAGAGAGAGAGAGACTACGGAGTCCTACCGGGACCTCGGCCAACTCTCCAACGCTATTACTTCCGAGATAAATGACTGATTCGAGACAGCAGTAGACAGCAGATCGCGTTCCCCCCGGAGGAGGATATTTTACGGCCAAGCCGACTACCTCGAGTGACGACGAGCGCGGACGAACCCGGAATCGAGTCCGCAGCTGTGATGGAAAGCAAACGAACCTTTCGTCCAACCTGAAAGACGATCTGGACAGGTCGCTCCAGGCGCTCATGCTCCGACTGCGCCTCCTGCAGGACTGCTGCGGCGCCAGCAGTTTGCTGCTGCTCCTTCGCCTGGTGGACGCCAGATTCTCCGCTTGAAAGTACACTCTGGGCGTCTTCTGCTGCGATGCGTTCGGTGGCGTCGAGGTCGGCGTGACCGCCGTCGAGGTGTGCAGTTCCGGCAGGGCCTCGTAGTCCCATGCTCTGGCGCCCATATCGAGCAGGGGCACCGACGAGGCTGCGCTGGAGCCACGGAGCGGGTCCCGAGGCTTGCGGTGATGAAACAGGGCGAGGAGCTGACGGCACGCCGACTTGTTGTTGTCCTTCCTCCTCCGCGCCGTCGGCAGCTTCACCTTGAAGCGGTCGCGGCACCTCGGCAGGACCGCCGCGACGTCCGGCCGCGTCCCTTCCTCGACCACATCGCCGCCTCCAAAGTCCTCCGATCAATCGGTGAGACGGTCGCGATCGAGCGAGCGTCGGCAAGCGCGCCGTACGAGTCCGGAGAAACGCGTGATCGCGCGGTGACCGCGACGACGAAGAGTCGACGAGTCCGTGGCAAACATGTCGGGGGAGGATATAATTCAGGTACCTGTTGCCGCGTCAGCGATGATCGATTCGCTTGCTTAGGAAGGACCTGTCTGCCGGTTTGCTTACTCCTGGCCGGTTTCCCACACGGTTTCTCGCTGCTTCTTCCTTCTCCCCGCTTTGTCTCTCGTGCTCCCGCGCGATTGCCGCTTATTTGGATCCTTGTAGCTCTTTAATGTCCCGACGAATGATTCACCGATCCTCTCGAGCAACGTGCCGATGGAGCACGATTAATTTCACCGTGAATATTTCAAAGATTTATCCTGTTCATTCGAGTCGTCGAAGTTAAGCTTCAAGAAGCTTCACATAGGCTCGAATTGTTCACAGAAGCGGTCCAACTGTCCAACCGTTCGGATTACTCTTCTCTTGAAGAAGGTCTTCCAGAAGACAACTGACGAGAACGTCAAACTGTTTGCAGGCCCAGGTACATCATGGAAGATTGCGTGTGCTCTCGCTGTTCTCAAGAGAGCCGATTACAATCTGATTAAAAAGTTTCGCTGCGTTGTCGAGAAAGCGACGGGGCGACGCTTCGGTCGCCGTAACGGGGCGAAAGTAATTTGGCAAAGGACCCGCGAAAGTAATTTCGTTCCGCTCGCACGCGGAAGGAGCTCTCAGGCGGTGTCTGAATAATTCCGAGCTTTGTCTCGAGATCCGGCGAGTAAATTCCGCATCCGGCAGGAATATGCGAATGCTCTTCCGAGCCTAAGTGCTTCGCCGTTTCCCTCGTCCTCTCTCAGAGAACGATACGGTGGATACGGTGGAGCGGTGCGCTTGCAGACCCGCTGATGGATCTCTTTGATGGAGGTACTTTCGCTCTCGGCTCTCCAAAGCGCTTTCTCGTCCTTCCTCGAGGAAACTGAAAAGTATCGAGGCTCGCCTGCGGCTGTCGTGCGTGCGTGACCTCCCTGCGTGCGTACACACACACACACACACACACACACGCGTGGCTCCCCACAACGTCAACAAATATTCATCAAAAACTCCTCCGTCAGCCTGTCACGTGAATTTCTCACGGCGCTAATTAATTGACCAGACGCTTTTTGAAAAGCGTCTTCTGCAAAAAGTTGCAAGTTCCAACAAGTATCAACAAGTCTCTTAGAGACTAACAACGTCTCGAACGGTAACAAACGGGGTGAGCTGCGTATCGGTCATGCGTATACTCGTCTCTCTCCCACACAGTTAAGCTGCTTAAGGTATAACTTTCAGCAGAACCTTCCGCGTGTCGGTCGGCTCTGATCGCCGAAAATGCATCGAAAAGCGCGGTTTAAACGGTAACAACGATCGAGCGCGTACGTGTTAACAGAAAACCTCGTCCCCTGGCCGAACGTGCCTGAAGCTTCGAAGCTGAGAACGAGAAGCCTCATGAGCGATCGCTCTCAACACACCAGGCGATGCACTCGCGTTCGCTGCCTCGATGATCGCTAATAACAGTAACAATCGATCGTAAACAACAGAGGGGAGCGCGTGCGAAGCATTAACGCAGCTTGCGCAACCACGAAGGGAAAGCGTATTCGACGACGATCCCCTCGGAATCGTCGTTTCTATTGATTCGCTGGCGGAGCGTTTCGCACAAATCCGACGGAGCTCTCTTGTACCTCGTGATCTTCGATTGTCAAAAGTCTATATTCGATCGAGTATTCGCAGCCTTCACGCAGCAGGCTGCTCTTAAGCAACGTGTGCTGAGCGTTTATTGTTTCGCGTGTTATCACGCGCAACATATGTCATCAGTCACTTTCATTCGGATCGCCAAAATGAGTATCCATATGTAGAACGCGAAGAATGACACGGGAGAGGGCTCGAAGCCCGATCCATTCGTGATAGTCTTCAGGGCCCAGCGATGTCTCACGTCGCGTCGCGAGCACGCGCGCGATTCGCTCGAGATGACGGTCTCCTCCTCAAGGGTTCCGGAGGGAGGAAGGTCCTGCGTATGTACGACGCTGCGATTGATCGTCGCTACCGCCGCCAATAGCAGTCACAAAAGCGGGTCTCGCGACACCTCGTTCGCACGACACGTTTCCGTGTGACCCGGCCGACGTCACATGGTGGTCGAAGGTCACGCGGTCGGCGGATTCCTACGGCGACGAGGACGCGTTCCTTTCTTTCCGCGAGACCCGCGAGATCGAACCTCGACGTTTCGCCATGACGGCACACACGCGAATGTTACATCAGCTTGCTCCTCGCTCCTCACCGTGCACCTGCAAATCCCGCTCTCGCGTATATCTCGCGCTAATCGCGAGTTTCATGGAAACTTCACTGATCCGAGATACACTCCGAGCTTCGTCCAACAATGAGCGGTTTGAGTACAAAAAAGCGAGATTCGTTTTTCGTGTCTCGCACGCAACTTTGCCGAACGATGAGTAAATCTGTCCTTAAAACGGTCCTTGGGGTGAGAACTCGTTTGTCGTCGGTGATGAAAACATGCGCGATCACTCAAGTCCCTCGAGCACCAAGCAGCACTCGTTTCGCGCCGAAAGCATGTCTCCTCGCACAAATCCCACTTCGGGCAACGGCCAGATCGGTTGATCGGCCTTCGGCTGAGAACGTCCAATTGTGGGCGTAGCGAGAGAGAGTATCTCCCGAAATTCCTCAACGACAAGGGTCTGTGGACTCGAAGTTCTCGTTCAGACAGCAACAAGCCGCGGTGACAGTGGACGCAGATGGCAGCGTCTCATGAGGACAACGTTCCGCTGTCGCTTCTAGAAGCAGTCGAAGGAGGATCGTTATCCACCTCGTCGTCTTCCGACTCGCCGCACTCGAGAACAGGCGCCTGCATTGTCGATGCCCCCGCCGATATTTAGGTACAAAGGCAAGCGACACGCTTCGCGACTTAACGATGAGGCTTTTGCCCGATGAGGGTTTTCTCCCCCTTGTCCTCTCTTCGACGTATCGCGAGCCTCACACACTCGCGATGTCTCCCAACCGTCGGGCCTCCCTCCAACGAGCCCGGTCCGTCGTGAGATCTAACGGGTGTCGCGTCCAACTGGAACGGTAAAATGCCGCATCGTCCTTGACATTCGACGAACGCGTTCGTCGTGTTCCACGGCTTCCACGAGGAGACGACTGAGATCGTGAGAGAGATTTCGAAGAGGAACCTATGCCGAGAAGAGAGAGAGAGAGAGAGAGTGGTCTCGACAACGGTCACCGTTCAATTCAACAAGCGACGGCTATCGCGGTCGCACACGTCGCGAAACGCACCAGGCACGAAACACCAGAGCACCAAACGTCCTCGTGAACAGTCCGTCTCGTGAAGGGTGGAATGGCGGAAAGCGCGCAAGCCTCGAACGCTCGTGTTCTCCGAGCCGATGGCAGCTTTTTCGCGACGTTAGAGAGGAGGCCAGCTCGTAGCTCACTATCCCGTACTGCGGTACACGCTAGCGGTTTTCTCTCGCACGCCACCCCCTCTTGCTGCCGACCTTCCAACCCCCGTTCCACCCTTTCTCACTAGCTAGCACCATCAAACGTTCTCTCTCTCTCTCTCTCTCTCTCTCTCTCTCTCTCTCTCTCTCTCTCTCTGTCTCACTCTTTTCCTCCCTCTCTCGTCTCATGCTCTCGTTGCCTCTCCGTCTCTACCATCCCCACGCAGAACACAATCGTCGTTCATCTTGTTCTCTCCGGTCGACATCGTTCTTCTCTGTTTCACCTTCGTCGTTGCCGTCATCGTCGTCGTCGTCGTCGGCGTCGTCGTCGTCGTCGTCGTCGTCGTCGTCGTCGTTATCGTCGTCGACGTCGCCGTCGTCATGAAAGGGCGCGCATACACGCACGTGGCGCCGCCGTTGTCAAGGCGACTGCGCCACTTCGGGCTACATCTGGGATCTACTCTACCTCCTGTGTCATCCCTTGGTGATCTGTCATTTCTTCTTCCAGTTTGTTTTTGTTGATGATGAATAATCGCGCGGCATTTAGACAAATGGCGGTGACATGCTCGATTCATCTACTTCCCGACGGAGATCCCGCTTTCCCGTTTCGTTATCATATTCTCCCCCGTGATCGAGCGGCACGAGTGGAGGGAAAAAGCACGAGCTTTTGTAAGCCCGCTTGTTTTAAAAACTACGCGGTGCGCCGAGGAGAAAACTGCGCGGTGCGCGCTGACGGAATTACGAGTATATTTTTCTTGCCGGGGTGAAGGTGAAGACCGACGTTTCAATATTTTAACAATTGAACCGAATACGGTCTTACCGAGGCGTAGCGTTGCTCTCTCATTTTCCGACGTGTATTTTAATATTGTTTAATCTGCTCGTCTGTCTAACCAATCGCTTCCTGCTCGATGAATTTTATGAATGAGTTTCCCTGCTCGAGATAATAGTTCAGAGTGGGTTTGCGCACTTTTGGGGCGGTGGATTATTTCGGAGTAACGTGACAGGGGATGAATGGACGGCGCTCGGGACGAGACAGCATCGATTTGCACCGGGCAGCAAGCTAAACTTGCGTGTCGAGCTTGCGCCGTGGCGCGGGCGGAAAGCTTGAATTCCAAGTGAACCACGTGGGTTTGCCATTGTGCGTGCCGAGCTTGCGTAGCGAGGGCCGCGGCGCGTGACCGACGCTTTTAATGAGACTTTCTTCATGCTCTTTACAATCTCGCGATCGTTGCTCTGATGAATGTCCCCCGGTTCGTAACGCGATGAAGCTTTTTATAAGCGGGATGCTTGAAATCGGCGCGTAAGCCGAGCGTTTATGTCACCGAAAGGAGAAAGTAATCAAGCGACGCTTGTCTCGAAATTTGCATTCGCGAAGATGCAAGGAGCATTTCCAGACGTGATTTCCGGTGAACTTGTGAATTTGTCGTTAATGCGGACGAACAACGTGCCGACGAGGCGTTCGGAAAATGAGCTTCTGCATAAGCAAACGCTACGTGAGCGCTTTATACGCGTAAAAACGTGGAAGTAATCGCGGATAACAAACGAGCGAAATATACGCAGTTCCGCTTAAAAAATGTATCGCTCCCCCGCCGTGCATTCGCTTTTCTTTTCTTTTCTTCTGGATAAATTACACCAATTGCGTCAATGGAGTGGAAACGTTAGGCTTGCACATCGGAGGGGGAGAGGGTACGGTTCGAATGATGCGAGGTGAATCTTGTAAAATAATTGGAACTTAATAGCCATTTCCTCGTCACAGCATATCGGTGGTTGACTTTGTTTGACTTCGCTGTGGTCATACCAGAAATAACGTTTATCTTTACAGTTATCACGCTACGTATTGAGAGAAAAGAAATCATTCCGCTATATGTACGCGTTGATATTTTTTTATGTGTCGCAGGTGTCTTCTTGCATTTGTGCCGATACGCGAATAAAACATCATGTTGTTCACTCACGCGTTGTAATCTACATAAATCAACGTATGGATCTATAATTTCGCGGCTCTTTATTGCTAATCCCGCCGATGCTATTGTGGATTTAATTACACCGGCCGAGCGGGAGCGATTTAATGCATAATTAATGCAGTTCTAAGCGCTGCGTTGTTTCTGCCGCACACACAGAGAAGCCAGCTCCGAATGCGTACGCAAATTTCATTAATAACATTTCGTATCGATGTAATCGAAAGTTCATCCAGTCGATCCATGATTAGTGATATTCGCAAGAGAAACTCGGACGGGGCGCACGTCCGTAGAGTAGCCGCAAAGTGAGACGCACGAAACCGGCGAGTGAATGTCGCGACTGATGAAAGTTAATTATTTAATCACGAGTTAACGGCTAATCCCTGACAATTGACCGACGGTATTTTCGTTCGTCATGAAGGACGGCCTACATAAATATGTGAGACGTGTATAAAGAGCGCGAGCCCGGAGTCAAGCTTGCTGCTCATAAACCATTTATGACGTACGGCTCGTTGAAATTCGTCATGAATTTCTCATCATCTCCTGTGAGCGCCCGCGCTAGTTAGACGGCACGATCCATTTTTTGACAAATCCCCCTGAAAGCCGTGAGGGTACCGAGGGAGAATGAGACGTTCCATGAATAACAAGATAGATCTTGCGGGATCTGACTAAAGCGTCGGAGGAAAGCTCGAGCCTTTTACCGGAGGAGCGAGCCTTTTCGCTGAATGCGGTGTCGTCGGTGACGTGTTTTTTCTTTTCCTCTCTTCTTTTTTTTTTTCCATATGACACCGCAGTATCTCCTAATGTATCCCGAGCTAACAGATTCGATAGGATACGATGAATCTTAAACGCACGACGCAGGATAATTTTCTTTTTATTTTTTTTTTCAAATAAATCCAAAGAGAAATTTTTCCCTCGGATTTTACCTTTTATTTCATTTGCCTACGTATAACACTAGCGGTGTGCTTCATTTAAAAAAAGAAAGATGCCGTGCGTATATTCGGTCTATCTAATGTACGTAATGCAGCCTATTATCGAAACTTGAGCTTTCGTGGACGCGCGAAGAGAGCGCGATCTAGGAATCGCCGGCAGCATCCGCGACAGTACGAGAGAAGAGCTAAAAAGCTCGCAAGCTTCGGAGGATGCTGAGCAGTCGATAAAGCAGACGCACGTCGCATCTGCTTTCCGGTCGATCGGGACGACAATATACCCGTCGTTGACCCACAAAATGTGTATCTCTTCGCGCGACAATTTCAACGAGTGGCGGAGCACGCGAGAGGGCGACCCGAATATGTGTTAAGCACGCTTCATTTTCGGAAGAATGCTGAGCGCAAATAGACCAGCTAAGCACCGAAAAGAGAGCACTCGGTCTCGGGATAGTACCGCAAGCTCTCGAATAATTTTAGGAATTCCTGCTTTAGTGGGAAGTGCTCTACTTTACCAACATCGGAAATTGCACGGTAGAAACGAAAAAAAGGAAAGAACAAGCCCCGACTAAACTCCAGAACGCAAGTTTTCGTAGAAAAATAGGGGTGCGTGTTTTATCGTTTAACAAACAAAATTTCCCAACGGTTGTTTTTACAGGTTTGATTCTAATTGCGCCGTTCGGTGCGGAGATGATATCGCACGGAAATTCGACGGGATCAATCAAATTACTACTGTGATCAAAAAATAAGGTGAATTTGTTTGTAAAATGGAAAACCTTTATTTATTCTTCCAAATCAATTTCATCGCCTTCAAAGTACTCCCCGTCCGACACGATGCACTTATGCCAAGGTTTTTCCAATCCCCGAAACAGTCAGAGAAGTCTTTTTCCGGGATGGCCTTTAATACTTTCTTCGATTCGGCTTTTATCTCCTCAATCGAGTCGAAACGGTGTCCCCGGAGCGGTCTTTTGAGTTTGTTGAACAGCCAGAAGTCGCACGGTGCTAAATCAGGCGAATACGGTGGTTGTGGAACAATATGGGTCGAATTTTTGGCGAAATGTTCTCGAAGAATCAATGTAGTGTGGGACGGTGCATTATCGTGGTGCAAAAACCAAGAATTGTCTGCCCATAATTCTGGCCTCTTGAGGCGAATAGCTTCACGCAAACGACGCATAACACTCAAATAATATTCCTTGTTAACAGTTTGATTTCCTTGACGTGGCTTTCATCGGTAGATGTCGATGGTCGTCCGGGGCGCTGTTCGTCTTGAACTCGTTCTCGGCCTTCTTTGAAGTCTTTGTACCACTTGTAAACATTTTTCTGCGACATAGCCTTATCACCAGAGGCCTCCTGCAACATCCTCAACGTTTCCGCGGCAGAATATTCATTCCGCAAACCAAATTTAATGCAAATTCTTTGCTCAACGAAATCAGACATAGTAAAAATCGAAAAATTCACTTTTGTATGTTTGCAAAAACACGTATAGCTCTGCAGCAATTGAATATATTGACATGAAACTCTGCATAGATGTCAAAGACAGTGCTACCAACCCACCAAAAAATAATTTCATGATTTTACAGTACCCGCGAAGTTTAAATGAAAAATTCATCTTATTTTGTGATCACAGTAGTATATTCGTACACGCGGCTGATGCAATTATTTCATCTAACGCGCCGTTCGCCGTGATACTTCGCGTTTGATCAATCCGTTCTCTAATCAACCTCAAATTCCTACGTCAAATAAACGTGCGAAAATATGCGAACGATTGAATTAATCTGACCGAACGATCATCCGAATTATCGCACGCGAGCACGCGAAGCTCCGTGATTGCCGCATTACAATTTTGCATATTTTGCATAAACGCGTTTGTCTAGCCGCCGGACAACTACCAGCATCTGTTTTATTATTCCATTATTCATGCTTACTCGGAGTCGGCGAGATAAGGTTATTGTCAATAGAGGGACGCTCTGCAACGGGGTGGGCGAGGCGGAAGTTCGATAGCGACGAGGATTGCGCAAAACGACGAAGCGCGATCGATTCTTCGCCGCTGCCGGTATCGAAATTGATCAAAGTCGCGTTGTAAATCTACAAACAGACCGGTAATTTATGCGGTATCCAATAATCAATTAATACGCCATTAAAAAACT